TATTATATATATATAGATAATTTTGTAATATCCTAATATAAGAAATATGCAATATTTATATGAAGAATAAAATTCCGATATATACAGGTATACATTTTTCTCGAGATATTATAAGTGGAAATCATTATGGGGGGAAATTCTGATATCGAAATAGTAAGAAGAAGTAACATCCTACATAAATATAGGATATAGATCCAATAGATACATGCGTGCATATCTCCAAAATGCAACAACTCAGAGCAGTAGTCCTGAAAATGTACAAACTATCTGATAGACATACCTCCAACTCGTCTCATACTTCTGCCTAAAAAGAAATAGAGGCGCGATTAACTTTTCATTTTTTTCCGGCTAGACGAAGCAAGATCGAATTCATCTCGCGTGACATAAAAAAGAAATGCTTTAGCATAATCATTCTTTTAGCATCAATAGAGATAATTTTCGGCGATAGAGAAATATATATTCAAAAGCGCGATAATAACAGAAATAAAAAAAACTAACTGGAGCTGGAAACTTATTCAAATAATAAATAATATTTGCGATTTTCATGCTTACTATCGCAAAATAGAAGTATTTAATGTTTTTAATCTTGAACGATTATTGCTGGTGCAATTCAATCTTCGATAAAGCAAGTAATTTTACAAAGTAGTTGAGTTCTATTTTAGTTCGAACTATTAACTAATACTCACTCGCCCTTGTTCGGATGATGTCGCACCACGTGTATGATTCGTCCTGGTGGATATAGGGGTCTGTGCAGAGTTAAAGCGATGCTGGAATCACTGGGTACGATGGTCTGAGCACGCGCCCGGTCCTTGTCCCGTTGGTATTCGCTGATACAACCACCGGCTTCCAGGTTGGCCGCCGACGTAGGTGTCGAGCCGCAGCCGCAGCACATCACAGAGCACGCTATTGTCTTCCACTAGAATAATTTGTGGATAAACCGATCGCTCAATTATCGATCCAGGCGTGATAAATGTTGGTCCAACAACATTTAGTGGGTGTTTTTCTTTTGTTACCTTAGGATCGACACTTCTCTTTATAGCGTTGATGAGATCCGCCCTTAGACTTTCCATTTGCCGAAGCCCTATCCTCGGTACTACGTCCTTGCCCACCACCACGGAGGTAATAAATTCCTGCGTGTATTGCTGGGCAGGCATGCTCAACAGTCCACCAGGTGGCCCAAATGAGAAGCACATCAGATCCGGGTAATCCTGTTTTAGTAGAATCGCGAGGATCGCTGCCGTGCCAGCGCCTAATGAGTGCCCCACCAAGGTCAGCCCAAATTGATGCGTACCCCTAGAGGTATTCTGTGGCGAAATTCGACAAAAATTCCAAACGATGTCCTGAGCTATTTCTGACATATAAATACTTTTTACATCCAAAAGATTTCAGATACTAATACTATTATTCTTCGATCTGTTAGAAAATAAGATCAATATGGAGAATCATGTTTATTGTTAACAAAGAAATATTTTATTATTAAATGAAAAAAATCTTAAATTTAGAATAAAATGATCGTGTATATCAAATATAAGACTATATAAACTTTTAAATTTATATATTCTGTTATCAACTCAAAATAATTAATCAATCTTATTTAATTCGAAGGAAGAGAATAGGAATTATTGATCTAATCTTAAAAAATATTGTTTTTTTTATACTGCATAAGGTTGCGATAAGAAAGATTAAATATGTCAGGAATAATTTTTATTTCGTTATCAGAAATCCTTTCTAAAAGCGTAAAATCTCCAGAGAAGTTTAATTACAAAAATATTGAATATGAATATTTCCAGTAATATATAATATCTTCAAAATCGAATTTCAGGATACAAAAAATACAAAAAATACAAAAAATACAACGGATAAAAATACGAACATTTTAATTTCAATATACGTAGTTCTTAACAAAAACCTAATCATCATACAGTTTTAGATTATTTTAATAAAATAAATGTTTATTTCTTTTTGTCTAATCTCGACAAATTTTTTATAGCGATGAATCAAATTTAGCGTACATGTATTGGATCTATTTATATAATATGTTTACGTAATATACTATATAAACCGAAAAATTTAACTGACCCGAAATAAAATATATTCAACGATATATTAACGAGTAAAATCTCTGTTGAAAAGGTCACTGGCACATTCCGCTGCAAGCAAAAAGCGTGTGGATAACTTGGATGGTAAATTTGTTTCACAATGTATATTCAGGAGGAATCGATGAGAGTGATTTATTTTTTATTGCGTAAAAAGAGAGGAAACTAGAATTGAAACAAATGCAATAATTTTAGGTTGCTTAACGTAAATTAAATGTAAAATTACACACACACACACACACACACACACACACACACACACACACACACACACACTTCTTGTTTGTATATCTAAAATAGTTAAAATAGGCGCTTACATTTTGTTCTGTTATCGATTATGCAAATGATGAAGTAACACGAAAACTACTTCGGAGTTATCAGCTATTTTGATAACGAGCGACTCATTTGCACATAATATGCCTACCTTTGCACGAGCACACGCGATAATGTCCTCCTCTTGAAGCTTCTTGCGTATATATTCAGCGGCCTGTACCATCCCCTTGTGCCCGAACCAATCCTCTCTCGGCGGCGATAAAGGTAACACCTCACCTTCGGCGTTCAGATCCGTCAGCACGTCCTTCATGCTTAAGGTCCCTCGTATACTAATCACAATCTATATATGTGTGTAAAAGATACGAACGATTGAAATACAGAAACGGAAGAATAGAAAAAAAGAAGACGCGAAAGTTAAAATCGTTAAATCGATAACAGTTCTAAAAGAAAATAAAAAGATATTAAAACGGTAAAAAGTAATAGATCAATAAAATATAATAGATCAATGATCTGAATAGTTGCACTGAAAAAAAATATAGTCAATTGTAATAAATATTTAGTTGAATACTGCCAAACTAAATATTTCCAACTAAATATTTATTAAATATAAAGATATATTTATTTGATACAAGAAATGTTAATTTGATTTAACAATCATTTTTTTTTAATGAACAAATATTTACTTACTGTAAGTAAATGTTTAGTTGGCAGTATTGAACTAAATATTTAAAATTAACTAATTTTTTTCTTAGTGTGATAGATTAATGTAAAAAGTCGAAAAATTTATTGAATTCTTCTGCTATTGAGAGAAATAATTATTTCCGGTAATTAACATCTTCGAGTTGATTCTCAAGTCATCTTTATTGTACCAAGTACGCTTTATCGTAAAATTAATAACTGAATATATCGATGAAAAATAAACTTTGTTTAAAAGGCTTCGCAACGATTAACGAACGATATTTGAGAAATCGCATCGACAACAACAAACCTTTCTCTTCGTATAATCGAGCGCAACGAAGAAGGGCGTCTCGCCAACGTCAACGTGGAAGGTTGCATAGACGACTTCAATCTCCCCCAAAATGAGCATTCTACTCAGGGCAGCGTAATTGCACCGGCAGCAATTGTCGTCGATGACTGTCGCCATATCCTCGTGACGAGTGCCGCACGGAAAGCAGCAGCAACATTGCAATCTATCGCGTAAAGAAGAAAGTAAACAAGATAAAACGGAGGCGTAACCAGTACGCTCACGTAATTGTGAATGGAACATTACAAAGAAAAAAAAATTTGTTATACTGTATGCGCGAAATTAACACAACAAAAAATATAATGGGAAGCATGCAGTGCTTTTTAAATTAATAACGTTTTTCAACTGATTATATACTTTCTTTCGTTTATACTTATTTTATTTTAGCCTACAAAGTTGTTGTTACATTCTGCAGTTATTCATATTTCAATACTTTAATATTCTTTAACATTTTTCTCATACTTTCTTCGCTCTTTATTACGATAATTTCTCATGCGTTACATTTTCTGACGTTCGAGAAGTTTTCTTATATGCTTACATTGCTTATGTCATAATAAATTCAAAATTTGCAATATACTTGTACAAGATAAGTTTTATACTGATCGTTATGAGATTATGAAAAATAAAGTTTATGATATTCAAAATTTTATACTAATCTCATTACAAGATATGAAATTTATGCAAAAAATAGAATATTTTGCAAATCTATAAGAAAATTCACGTTTTTTAAGTAATCATTTAAAGTTAAAAATCTGGTTCATAATATTCTGATTATACATATTGCAGCTATCGGAGAATGCATATTACAATAATATGATAAGCTTCGAACCTAGAAATTACCTAGTGCATAATTGGCAAAGTTGGGTGGAGGAATCAACGAGAAACATGGGCCAACCATAGGCCGCGAGGGCAAAGTGCATATAATGGATAGCCAACTGAAAATGGCCCAGATCGCCGTCCTCCGTCAAGGACAGGAACTTTGTACGCGAAGTGACCGGCACTCCCGACAGGAACTCGTATGTATCATTTTTGCGTTGCTTAACTATCAACTCGCGCTCGATTTTTTGGAATTTTCTGAGCAGCACCAAACCAGCTACTACGTCCGATGGCACCACGTCCAAGTCGCGAAAGAAGTCGCTCAACAATCGGGCGATGTCGGCGAACGAGTTCTGCAAACAGCAACATATTGTTCTTTCTGTCAGACTAAAATTCTTGTTTGACGAACAACATATAATTAATCTTTGAAAGTTAAAATAATTTTTTTCCAGCAAAATTTAATTTACTATTATATTATACTGTTCCTTATATACCGCGCTAAAAATTAAAAATTCTGTCCAATTTTTTCTATTCGATTTAAAAATTAAATATCTTTCATATTTTCTTAAAGTTTTAATAAAATATATTATGTTAATTACTACATATTTTATATTTTTATTTTACTGATAAATGCAACAGATTTATTTAAAAAAATTTTTTTATACATAGTAATATTGTAGTTTTGAAAAATGCATTTTTGTATAAAAATATCATGATTTTATCAGGAAATGGAAAGTTATTTTTTAAAAATAACAAGTTACAATTACTCATTACCGAGTAGAAAAAATAACAACTAGTTACTGATTTTTAAAAATAACTCATTACCGTTCACAATTACCGTTACTTAAGAAAATAATTTTTCGTTATTTTTCCATTACTTTTTTAAAATCGACGATCGCTAAATTACAATAGACAGATCTAGAGGCTTTCTAGCCTTAAGCGCTATGAGTGACTTGTGTCTAATCATATCGTGTCCAATCGTGTGCAAAGTAACGATAAAAGTAATGATAAAATTCGTTACTATTATCAAAAAAATGTACTTCGTTATCGTTACCAAAGAAAAAAAGTAACGCAGTTTACCAGTAAAATTATCAAAAAAATAGCTGTAATTTCGTTACAATACTAATAAGTTACTTCCATTCCCTGGATTTTATACAAGAATGCATTTCTTTCTGTCATCTATTTCTATATTAGACGCAAAGATTTATTTTTCTGGACTTCTTCTTTATTGATTGTTTCGTATTACTCACTCGATTGCGATCGGAGTTACCCATACAGCAGAATAATACTCTGCATCTATTGTCCCAGCTGTCCTGATAAGCACGTATGACTTTTCTACAACACGAGAAAGAATCTCGTATTTAGAGCATTCGAATACTCTAGCAAAGATGCTAACGCATAAATCTAAGCGTAAAAAATCACATGGGACAAAATCTCGTGGCAGCGGAATATAAAATACCCAACAATGCGGTCATTACATGAAAAAACCAAAGCATTGCTTGAACACATTTAGAAATGGAAGCACATTTTATTTCCGCAAAAGACTCACTCCTTCAGATTATGTTCGCTTTATTTGTAATAAAACTAGATTCAAGATTAACTTTTACGTTTGCGTTTGTCATCGAAACAATAAAAAATACAAAATAAAATAGAGATGAAAAATCGATGCGTTTCTTGTCTCTCTTGTGTTTTCAATGTTTTATATCATTTGCAATTACATTGATAAAAATGTAAAGAAAATGTCGTGAAAGAAATTCTCGCAAAATTGAGAAAAGGAGGAATGATCTTATCTATCTTATATTCATGCTGGGTAAAATGCAACGCGGAAAACATAAAAAAAAAAATCGCAAAACATTTTCGTATGTAAGATACTATACCGTTGTCGCCAATTTCGACTTCTGCTGCCGCTGCGTTTGTAATGCAATCTTGCCCCCCTCGATTCCGCCTCCCTCATGCTGCGCTGGTATTTCTTCATCTTCACCCAGGACCTGCCAGCTGCATCATACGTGCACCAAATGGTCACCATCATCAACGCCAGCAGGCACGAGTTCGATATCACCAAACCTGTTAAATTTAACTCGTTTTCGTATTTTGCGGTGCATTTGATTTATAGACGAAAAGTATATTTCGTAAAATATCAAACAATATTTTTGCGTAATAGGAAAAAGGTGAACATATTTTCTAATAACTGTTGAAAGAAATACAGGTATGAAGCAAAATAACACAAAATGTTATTTTTAACTCAAGGATTGGATTATCATTGCTGATCCTTTGATATTTAATAGGGTAATTTATGGAGATACAGTTTTATTGTTCTATTGTTTTATGATAATATTATAAATATACATTATCAATATTTTGCGTGATATATAGCTCTTTATAAACGGTTAATTTATAAATTTTTATATTCTATGTTATGAAGACACGTAAGTAGTTCTCAAATGCAGAACTTACCCAACATAACATCCTTAGCTTGGTCCACTGGACAGGTTTGGTAATAACGCGCTAGCCAAGTAACACCTGTGCACAGCCACCCAGTCTCCACCAGTACCAAGACTAGAAACAAACCCTTCATAAAATTTCATGTCGTAATTCCATTTTCTCTTCCATCTCAATGCAGCGATCCAAGCGAAATAGCGCTCTTAATTAACTGGCGTATAAAGAAAAATTTTTTTAAACAAAAATGAAAAAAGGCTGCAAGGAAACTGTCTCGAAAACTTTGAAATATTATCTTCCTCTATTATCTCTCTATTATATATCATCTTTCTACATTGTTTGAGCTTACGCAAAAGCTTTTTTACAATAATGAGGAAGTACGCCTGTCGTACCGACATCGCGTCAGATAGAAAGATTGAAGCAATCAACAACATGCAACTTACAAAAGCTTTCTTCGATGTCGCGGAATTTATAATAGCGCGCATCGGCGCCTGTCTTCCGAAGCGGAAACGCACGACTGAGAGGGTGTTTCTGCGGCGAAACAAACACATTTGACCCAGTTGCGACAATAACCGCGACTGTCTGAGGTACTTTCAAATCATGGCGTAGGATTGATAAATGGATTTAAAATATATATACGTACATACACACTATCGTTGTTATATCGAATTTTAATGAGATAGGAAAAAATAGTTGTATTTTATTATCTATATCATGAAAGAAAAACGGCTACAATTGCCACGATCAAAAATCGCCCATCAATATGTGTATATTTTTTTGGTTATAAGAATTATAGTGCAACTATTGTGCAACTATATTGTGATAACCGTAAGATTCGAGCACATTTTAATGGTTATGACTGTTAAGACATGTTCATCTTACAATTATTACAAATGTATTGATGTGCGAAAATTATCATTATTTCCGATATTATTTGTGACGACCGTAATATTTTTTCTGTATATTTATATATTCCTCGAGTAAAAATTTAAACGATGTTAATTTAATTAATTACCATTATAACGAAAAAATAACGATATTAGTAACGTGTTACTTTCCAATGTTGACAATTTGTAATAAATAAATCTGTAAAGTTTAAATTCGTCAAAAACACTGTCATTAAGAAATAATATAATATATTAGAATATTTTTTGATTAAAACAGTTCAAATAACTGCTATATTGCGAAAGAATTATAAGTAAAAAGGGATGACTGAAAAATGCGGAAAAATAATCGACCGATTAATTTCGCTCTCTAGACAACTTAATATTCCACGTCATTTATGTCAGCCGACATTAAATTATAATGAAATCGCAAATTCATTTCGCACGGATTCTGTGCAATTTAACAATACAGCGATGAAAAATAAATCATATAGCGAGTGGAAAGGCGCTTAAGTAAAAACGAGGGTGCTGCATATTTTACCGTACATAAGTCAAAACAACTTTCATCTCGCAAACGTAGAAATTGCAAAAAAGCGAAAAAAACTCTGATAAAATAAGAATCAAAGTAAAAATGCTAGTAACGAAAAATTGAAATGTGTTACATATATTTACACACGATGCAAAATACGACAGATATTACACAAACGTATATAAAATCATTTCATCAATATTATATTTCATGTTGTGACAACCTCTCAATATTAGTCCACAAAAATTTAATAATATTGTCGACAAGCAACATCAGGATATTGAGAATACATGCTGATCGCAAGTATATATATATATATATTATTTATATCAGTGATAAATTCTTACTTATTTTACAAAAAATGAAAAAACATAAAAATTGAGATAAAGGATATGAAATAAAATCATAAAAAATTATGTATTCTAGGTTAAAATATATTACTCCCAAAATACGATGCTATGAATTTGATTCTTTTCTATTCCACTTGGCACTTCGATTGAGATGTAGTAACATGAATTAACAATGAGTACAAGATAAAGATACTCACATAGTCGGAAGTAAAGGACGTACTGCATCGGGGCTCTCGCTGTTGTATCCAGGATGCTGCCTCTCGTTGCCAAGAAGCAGATGTAGAATTCTACCATCATACAAACCACGAAAAGACCCTCATATCCGATCACGTACTGCCACAAAAGAAGAACGCAAGTATCGCTACGATCCCATTCGAGAATTCCCAGTAGAATACCCAACACTGTCAACCTGCGTAGACATAAAGAAGGTCCCTTAAAGCGGTGAAATTTACGAAGTAAACACATCTAAACCTAGTTCTCGCGGTGACAAATAAAACGTCGTCCCTGCAGGAATTATGTTGACGGATTAAACTGCAACTTTTAAATACACACACGCAGGCATGTACCCAGTTTATGTAAATCAAAATATTAATAATTTTGTAACAAAATACAACCTCATTGTTATACAAAGTTTGAAAATAAATTAAAAAATAAAATTATATAATAATCTAATAAAAATATCATATTCTTCGGTCTATATAAAGAGATCGAATGTCTCTTTGTATAAAGATTTCTAATCATTAGATAAAGCCTCCTATTATGTAATGTAATCTATTGTGTAACAACGATATCAAGTTCATCGTTGACATTAATAATCAGAATATGCTTTCAATTACATCATCGACGATCATAGTTAGATAATGGGTAGACAAAAACGAAACATTTATCACAAAAGTTACAACTTATCACAAAAGTTACGAAAATTAGTACATTCAAATTTTGCAAACCGCGACTTTTTGTTATACATAGCGTATAAATCACCTTTACAGTACACGCTAGATAAACTATTCGGGACTTTCGATGGACCGTGCAATGAATGCAACCGCATGGAACTGCATCGAGGAGCTTTCAAACGGTTTGATCAACCGGAAGCTTCATTTAACGAACACTGGACAAATGATCTTCGACACAATGTTTTTTGGTTGTCGAAAAGCCAGGAAAAAATAAAGAAAATTAATTCCATGGAAATTAATTCTATTCTAGAAAAAGATATTGATCCGTATATTTCATGCAAATATTGATACAGTGAATTTTATTCTAATTCCATTCATACCGAGAAGCATATAGATTAATCATAACTGTACGTTAAATAATGATAAAACTATGACCTTGTTATACAAAATTTAATAATTAATAATAACAGTTAATGTCTCTGGATTAATAATAATAATTTAGAATCAAATTTCGAAAAATCTAAATAATTAAGTTACATACAATAAAAATTACAAGTTAGAATTCAAATTTATAATACTACAATAAAATTACCAAGATTATAATATCGAAACTCTGTACTGTTACAGACAATTCTGTTTAGATGCTGTTTTTTAGTGTTTTTTAATGTTTTTTCCTCGAAACATCAAGAATGTTTGCCAAGATAATAGCATTCAATTTAAACAATGGTGACACCATGGATATATATACACAGGATGTTTCAGACCTAACCATCTGCTAATGGCAGATTCCCAGAAATTATTTTGAGACTAAAATTCTAATACCAAAATATCGAGGCCATAGTTTTTGAATTATAATCATTTAAAACTAACAGATTATATAAAAAAATATTTTGGACTGAACATTATGATATTAAATTTTCATTTTAAAATGACTTTAGGAACCATCAGGTGATGTGTAGGTCTGAAACATCCCCTGCATACATATATGTATATATATATGTATATATATATATGTATATATATATGTATATATATATGTATA